TATAATTCGAATATGCCAAATTCGGTAAAGAGATTTCTAATAGATATAAGACCTAAATAAGGCATATAAGTAGAACATTGTTTTATAGCGACTTTTAATAAACTTCATAAATATTTTCTTACTTCATAGAGTGCAGAAAAATTAGTTTATAAGGTTCCCGAGAACCTCCCATTTTGGAATTAAAAATGTAAGTACGATATATAGTGCGTTCATAGATAGGTAAGGAAAGTGGGAGGCCAGTAGGCTATGTTCAATTATTTTAAATGCATTTCTGATTTTGCCTATGGATAGAAGTAAAGAGTTTTAAATTAGAGAAGTGCAAAACAGTGGCTGTTTAAATGTTCATCACTTTACGCTTCCCAGGCTCAAAATAAAATTAAAAGAAACAATTTGAACAGAAAGAGATGGCAGAAATTTAAATATCTAAATAAAACAAATTAAATAAACATTTATATTGCAATGTTGGTAGGAGAATGTATATTCCCAAATGATATATAAATAATAGTATATACAAGAAACAATAATAGACTAAAACTGAAACGCCTTCAAATTGAAGTTGTTGTATGTGTTGTTATTTCTAAATAAAAGTGCATTATTTTGTGAAAAAGAGTACGAAAGAAATAGAAAACATGCCAATATGAGAAAGCGAAAAAGGGAGAGAGTAAGCAATAGTTGCACATAAACAAAACTAACTAAATACAACACAAGCTAAATAAACATAAGCATATACATGCCATGCCGCCTATATAAAGGCGCAGCTAGGAGTGTGTAGCTATGTAGTTGGATGCAATGATTGCGCAGGGATGGGGAGCCGAAAGGCAACGACATCCTAGTTGCAGGAAAGATTTGTGCATAGCTCAAATTTTATGAGCTTTAGCAGATGGGGCACATTTACTGCACACTGCGCACTTTCGGATGCAGCAATGTATCTGTATTTGTGCATTCTTAAATAAATAAATTTGCATCGAATTACTTTTATTTTTTTTCTTGTGCAGTTTTTTCTGTTTATTTTTATTTTATTTTTTCATATGCAATAATGAAAGCAGAATTGTAGGAAAAAAAATGTACATAAATAAATTGCGTTATCAAACTGAAATAGGCAACGTAAATTATAATCACGTCCTGGCAATAAATTTCAAATCGAACATTATGACTCCGGCATACCAACTACTCGAAATTGGTAACATGAAAAACAGATTAAGTACGTACTTCTACCCTTCGAATGGAGTAAAGGAAAATGTAAAACGTTGATTTAAATTTATAAAAAAAAAACAAAATAATGAAGTATAACTCCATTGGGGTATTCTTATTGTAGCGTGTACTTAAAAATTGGATGACTTTTATTGTCTAGACACGATATAATTCCAACGCAGGAGATTGGGTCCCGTGAAAGCATTTTTAATAAGATAAAAATAATTTTTTAATTGCTCTATATAGTATTTAAACTGGTTAGAGTTTATATAAACAATTTCTATTAATTAAATTTGATTTTATTGTCAATAATGGCGACAGCGACAATTTTACTTAATAAAAACTATTGTATTTAATAGGGAGGTTTCAAAAAATATTGAATTGCAACAACAAAATTCCATTTTTTTAATTCATTGAAGTTTTGGTTGAATGTACAGCTGTTTCGAGTATTGCCAAATACCAATCAGTGGTCTTTTGGAATTATTTCTTATATTTAATTATTAAAAAATAATAATATAGTATTAATTATTCTATAGCTGGTTTATATAACACATGAAATAATTTTATTAATAAACTTTCATAGCAAATTAATAAAAAAACTACAAGTTTGAACATACAAATCAAGTATGGTCTTGGCTTATTTAGCTAGCTGATGAAGACTAACTCTGTTCTTCAAATTTGACAGAGTGCGAGTTAAATTCTTGGTACTTACAGTCTTGAAAAATTATTTACAAATACAGTGGTCGTCCAGTATAACGAACGCTCGATATTACGAATTTTCGATATAACGAACACCCAAAATATTTACATTGATTGTTCTATATAACGAACGAAAAAAAAAATTCTGCTCCATATTACGAACAAAAAATTTTTTGTTTCTTATTCGTTTTTGTTTTATACAAATTATGCTTTTGAATATAATTTTACTATAAAACTAGCATTATTCAGCTTAGAATATGCATGTAATTGTCCGTTTTTTTTTTCTGAGAAAAATGCCTATATATGGCAAAATGCATATATGCAGGCGCCACTGATCTGTTGTTCACAAATTCAGTTTATCATATACGAAATACTATCCAGACATACATATGTACATATTAAGGTGTTTATATTTAATATGTATTTGTTTGAAAATATCATTTAAAAATTAATTTGACAAAGCCGGACGTTTAAATCGTTGTGAATTAAATTTTAGTTTTTATATAAAAGCAAAAATGATGAAAAGAAATCGTTTAACTGTTGAAACAATATTGGCAATTTTAGATGATATTGGTAAGGAAAAGTCTTGAGTGTAGTAAAAAACAAACAAAAATTAATGATTTTTTTTACTCTACACTATGATTGAATGCGTCCTTTCTTATAAATAATTTTTGTAACAACCGAATAAAAAATACTTTTAAATAAATATATACTCGTACGTGTTTATAAGTTAATTTATGAACTCAAATATATGAAATCTCCTAAAAATAACCATATTGGTAGGTAAATGTATAACATTCGATATTACGAATTTTTCGATATAACGAACAAGGGGTGCAACATAAAATTCGTTATATTGGACGTCCACTGTATTTGCAATGCTTCAAACAGCTGTATGGTCAGCTAAAAATTCAATTAATTATAAATAATAAAATTTTGTTGCAATTTACTACTGTACAAAATCTATCAAGTTCTATTAATGTTAAAAAGAAATATTGTTATAATTATATTATTTCCTAACAAATATTGTTATAAAAACAAATATTGATACAATATCTTACACAAAAGTTTAGTCTACAATATACGTTTTCTAAATTGCTATGATCGATCCGACAGCTTTTAAGGGTCATGCTATACAGAAAATCATATCATAACTGTCAATTTTCTCTATTTATTACTATTTTGGCATGTTTTTTGTGGTTAAATTTAAAAGATATTAATTCATACATATTTACTTCTAATAGGCGTAAATTCTGACATTTATTGGTGAGCAACACTGTTTTGACCAACGCGACGAGGCACACAAAGCCTAATCACCGTGGCCAAATTGAAATTGAAATTTCTATTTCTCTCATTCTCAATTTTTAGTTTATATTGGAAACAAACAAAATTTTAAATTTGACTTGACTATGCCCCTCTGTTTAAAATGGTTCTTAGCTAGGCGAATTTTATCTTGGTAAGGCGAATTCGTTAAAATTTGTTTTATTATTCGCTTGAAAATGATTTAATATAGCAAAGAGCTGAAACTAGTAAACAACTGGTACGTTCGATTCATCAGTTATTACCTAGGCTAGTTTTATATATTCTAATTCTAAAATATAATAACAACTTAGTTTAAAGATTCAAAACTGAACAAAAAACATACCAGCCAGCTGCTTCGATTAAAGCGTAAGCTGCTCAGCATAACGGTATCGGTGCTGATAGGTTATTGCGCACCAGGAAGACGTGCTATGAGACTATAATAACTTTTGTCGGGATTGTGACTTGCGAATGCGATTTAGCCAAGTTTATAGACTTGTCAGGTTAGTTCACTTTTGCTGGAATATACTCGCTTGCTATACTTCAAGATAATGATGTCACAATTTTTCAAATTAAAATGTCAGTTTATAGTGTAATGTATAATTTGTAGATAGTTTGCGAATCGAACGCAGCAATTGTAAGACTATGACTTTCAGAATGAGATGATTAAATAATAATAATATGAGCATTATATTGGCATATATTGTAATAAATATATGAAGAATATTTAATGAAAAAGTGCTGGGAAGCACATGGTTTCCTTTTCTCTTTCTCAACACACTGATGCTATACAGGCTTCTACTGCACAATATATTACTTTAGTATGGTTGTCAGCACCTAATCTGGTCTATTTGAAAAAGAACAAAACCAAGAGTTAAAAATCATATCAACAAAAATAATTTCTTAAATTGTTTTGAAATGATTCTAACCTTTAGTTGTTTTTTTTAACAGTGAAAAATCTAAAATGAATTCCAAGCTACAGTTCTGATAATTACAAAACGGTATAAATCCGAAAAATAATAAATAGTTTTGCATATTCACTTGAATTGGAGTTTTAAGGCTATCATTAAAATAATATAATAGTTATTTTAAAAACTTGGATGGAATGAGGAAAGGTAGAGTATTTGGTTGAAGTGAAGACAAGCATATCAAGGCAAGCATAATTTCGAACAAAATCCGGGTCATGATGTAGAAATCTCGTAGTTTAAATGTAGTGAATCTATAAGACAATATGGATCAAATTCGTTTACATAAAGGGGTAAGACAATTGGATGATGACATGAAGAAATTGTCACAATTAGAGCACAATCATGTTGATTGTATTGCTTAGTTTGATGTATCTTCAAAAACAAAAACAAAATATTTACACATAAGAAAATATACTTAGCTAATGATCATTTACAATATTCATTGTAAGATATAAAAAAATTTTTTTGGAAAAAATATACGATTATGGAAGTTGCTGAAGGAAGTTTATTGCAGTTACAGGTATTAAAAAGTGTATATGATGTTAAAAGATTAAAGAAATCGATTATATAAAGTTAGCGAGAATCTAAGGTCGGCACTATCTTCCATCCATGATCTTACTCACGATAATATAGCATGATTAAGATAAAATACTATTTATTTTGTTATATACCTTATTAATAAGAAAAATACAATGACAAAGAAAGAATGACAAAGCAAAAGAACAATGACAGCTTTATTTGTGCTTATCTATGCGGGTTAAGTACACACATGGATATTCCCACTGCTTGCTTTTATAACATTAATATAGTTATTGTAATATGTGAAAAATTTTATTTACTTACTGTTGTTTCATACTTGTATACATTTCCCCATCTACTACCAATATATATTACACCCCACGCAACATCGAGGGTTTGCAAAGGTTCCGTCAGATCAATAGACATTAAATTGGTTTCCAAATTCTGTAAAACGCAAAGAATAAATAATAATATTATATACAGAATATCATTTTTATAGAATGTATTGTATATGCAGGATATATTATATTTCTATATGGAGTTTCTTTTGTTCAAGATGTCATAAATTTAAAACAGTAGCAATAAAAAGTAGTCCACTTTAATGCCTTGCATAGATCACAACCACATCCAGTAACTGAATGTGATTTGCATATAAAATTTCCAACAATTTTGAATCAACCGCAGAAGCTGACTAAACTTTGTAGGATCGTGAATGCAACTTGCATTTTGCAGATGTAGTCTTCGGGCGACATATTGATTGTTGTAAGAAAACAGCACATAATAGCTAGAAAATTACTTATCGGGAAATGTTTTAGAAATTCGAAGACACTAATAAATAAATTTTAAATAAATGCGGTTTCTTAAAACTAACAGATAATTTTTAGATTAAATCACATTAATTTTAAAAGAGGCTTTTATTACAAAAATACAACAACATATTATCGAATATTTCTTATCAGAACACACAAGATTTGGTAACTAATGAATGCACTCAGAGAAAATAACTTTAAATTGATATTATATGAAGGAAATAAAATGTGGTTTATAAAAACTTCGTATAAGTTCTTTAGAGCTATTAAGATTTAATTAATCTTAATAGCTAATATTAAAAATGGATTTGTCTTCCATTTTTTGAATAAATAAACCATCGGAATATATACATATATATATATATAATACAAAATTTAAATAATTTAAAATACCACGTTTAATAATAACAATAATAATAAAAAAGCTAATTACCTTTAGAAGTGTTTTTCTCATAAAACCATCCAGAGAAACAGTGAATAACTCTCCCGAATCATTAAGATACATATCTGTAATTGCCTCTCCATGTTTACGTTGCTGTTTTTCTAATTTCAGATCGTTCAAGTTAAATTTATAGACTATACCATCGTCACAAGCTGCTATGATACCATCTTCTGCAACAATGAGTTGAGATACCGGATGATCTACACCTTTAAGAAAACCGCTTGGTATGTGTGCATATGTATAATAAGTTTTACTGACGTCTGTACTTGAGGTTGTGTCTTTAGTACTAAAAGATGAGGATTTAGAATATGATTTGGGTATAACTGCTGAAGGTATAGGTTTTTTTTGGTATTCTTTAGTATTGCTTGATTTTGATGATTCTTTGTTATCTCCTGATTTTTTCTTGCGTTTTGGTGATGTAGCGTCATTATAACAATTACGTGGACGTTTAGCATTATTGATGTTATCGGAGTCAGTAGTATTAGTTGAAGTATTAGCAGTAGTATTAGTACCAATAGACTTACTTCTTCGTTGCTTTGATCCAGATTTTTTCACGTTGGTTTTATTACTTGTAGAACTATTTGAATTCGAACTTGTTTCGGTTGCAGTTTCGATTATAGATTCACTTGTTATCGGCGGTGTGTTGGATTTGATTACAGTAGATGGACTTTTATTTACACTTATTTGTTTATTTTCATTTTTAACAACTGTTTGTGTATTGCACGCAATAGGACTTATTGTGTTTCGTCCAGAATTGTATAACATAAAGTTTTGCTGTTGTATTTCCTGTATTTGCCTGATGATATCTATTTTGCTCCGCTCAAATTTATTTATCATATCATCAAAAAATATTTTACGTTTTTCAAGCTCCATTATTTTAATATCATTTTCACGTATACTTTTAACAACATCCTCGCCAATAGGACTATGATAACGTATTGCCTCTAGATCAACCAGCGGAAAAGTGTTATTCACTGCTAGAGAAGTATTCAAACTACTTATGCCATTTAAGTTTGAAAATTCTGTTGCCAAGAATGTGGATTCATTGATTAAATTACCACCTACTCGTATTAAATTTGTTTGTGAAATTTGCCTGTTACATTCAAAAACATTATTGCTCTGATTTGGTGAAAATTTATTGTCCGTCTCAGACGGAGTTGTATTTTTTTCAACAACATTGGCAACACTGTGCGTGATAATCTCATTTGGGTTGTCTTCTGTTGTATTTTGTTCACTTGGATTTTGAGACATATCAATTCTTTGACTTGCAATCATTTCATTAGAATTTTCTGCAGTGTCAGCATTTTTTTCTTCCACGCTTGCTCCTCCTGACATGTCCTCATTCACACTCGTTTGATGTTGAGTTGGCGTTGATTGCAGAGTCGAATTTTTAATCTTTTCAGTTGATTCCTTTGATGAAGCCTTCGTTTTATGTTCGTTGTTGGTAATAACTTTTTCTGCTGCGTTGACATTTTTGTGCATTACAGACTCTGTCTGTTTTCTGGATTCCTTCGAGTTATTGCTTTCGGTTTCTTCAGCTTTTTGCTCATTTTTATCACTAGTATAATCAGAGTTTTTAGAGTTTTTATGAGTTTGTGGTTTCATTAAATCATTATTGTTGCAATTCGTATTCGTTTTGTTGAGGTTGGTTTCATTTTCAGCAATTTCTTTCTGTTTATTCTTAACGTTAACAATTTCACGTTTTAGAAACTCTAAAGCCATACCTCTATTGCCTGATTTTAGATTTCGTTGTATAGTGCTAATTTGCTGTTTAGTATATGTACCAATGTTATAATTACTGGTACATATCATTGATATAAAATGCAATTTAGAGTAAGATGAACCGCTATAGTTCGAACGATAACGTTTGGTTAAACGTTCACTAATATATGGCAACACTAAGTTTTCGAATTCTTTAATAACACTCTCCGATTCTATTTTAACCTTTAAATGATGCTGTTTGGCAGATGAAATATCTCTTTGTACAGATGAGTCAGAGTCTGAGTCGCTGTCGGAAGATGACGATGAGCTAGAGCTTGAACTTGAACTACTAGATGATGCTGATGAAGATGACGAGGACTCAATTACAATAACTTCGTTTGTGCGTAAGCTCTTTTTGTGTTTTACTCTACGCCACTTTTTTTCTTTTTTAATAGTGATTTCTGGTAATTTTTCAAGAGGCTCTAATTTGGGGGAACATCTTTCTACAGACGTACGTTCTACGCTTTTGCTACGCTTACATTGTAAACAATCTTTCTCATTACAGAAATGTTTCATTTCTTTAATAGAATTATCTGTACAATTTTCGGAAGTCACTAATTTGGCAGAATGCTTTGATGTAGGTGAACACTTTACACTTTCAATACCCTTTGTTTCATTTAGAGAACTACGTGGAGATTTTTCTGGTGTTAAATGCTTCTCTGTGTATGAATTTTGAATGAATTCAGTTCCAATACGGTTTTGCTCTGCACAATTGTCTGCGCAGTCCGCAGTACTAGGTGAACTTGAAGTTTTTGTTGGGGTCTTAGTATGTGCTAACATCATATCTTCGAAATTTTTCTGAATTAAAAAATGCAAAGAATCATCAAACCCTTTTTTTGGTTCAACTTCAACAATTTGTTGGTTTCGAATATTAGTTAAACCATTTGTTTCAGTACCATTAATATTATTGTTATTAAAACACGAATAAGTAATGCTTGTGGGTGGTGAAATAACATCGTGACTTAAAATTTCCAAGTGTTCACGAGACTGTAGTGTATTTGAATTTCCACCTAAATCAATACCGAAAGCTTGACTTAATTCAGCTAAAACACCGTCTGGTATATGTATAGAGTCGATTATTTCATCTGGTAAAAATTCAAGATTGCTTGCATCTTTCACTGGATCCAGATTTATATCTTTCATTTGTTTACGAATTTCGTCGTGTAAACGCTTACGTGCCTGTAACTTAAGTGCTTCATCATATTTTGTCCCGCAATTGTTGATGACATTTTGTATTTGTATTTTATCCATATTAACGACCTTTTCAATTAAAATTTCAGCTGGATCACTGCTTGTACTACAACTCGAGGTTTTACGTTGCCTAGATTTAAATTCTGGAAAGATATTAGGTTTGCAAAAAGTTGATTGCAATTTTATTGTATTTGAACTAGGATCATACTCGGTAAACAAATCGTCTCTAACAAGTCTTTGAATTGGTACGATCGATATTTTAGGTTGATCGTTTTCTACGGTATCTAACTTTTTGTTATTATCGCTTGTTATTTTTCCTCTTTCTCCAATATCCACGCCTAATAGTTTTGCCAAAGTATCTATATTTACAATTGTATCTGTTTCGTTTTTAGAATCTTGTACATGTGGTGTGGTTATTGCGGACGTTTCAGTTGTATCTTTAAATTTCGTATAGAAATCTTTATGTTTTAAACAATTTTGTTGTTTTCTCTTGACTGGTTTTCGATTTGTAATTCCTTTAATATTTTTTTCACGTATACTTATTTTAGACGTATTGCTTTGAAATTTATTTATTTTATTTCCGGCATCTGTATCTGTAGATGTTATTGGAACTTCAGTTGAAGACGTTGATTGCTTGTTTAAATGTATATTATGGGAAATCGAATTTACTTTATTATTCTTAATATTAGAATTACTGTTAACACTAGAATTTATGGATTCTTCTACACTTTGTTCTTCATCAGCGTCAAAATGACTTTGAGAATTATTTTTATTGTTGTTGTTATTTCTATTATTATTATTATTTTTATTATAAAATTGGTTATTTCCTTTATTATTATGGTTCCCCCAATTATACTTCGGATAAGCGCTTCTTTTAAAATTGTTATTATTATTATAATTTTTAAATCGATTATAATTCCAAATGCGATTATTATTATTTGAATTATGTTGATAACGATTGTTAAAGTTAAATCGGTTATTATTTTGTTTATATCCGTTGTACTGAAAATTTAAAAAAAAAATAGTATATTATAAATATAGAATAATTAGTATAGTGTTAAATATAAGACTATAACAAAGATAAATATCAAATTATTTATGAAAATATTTAAAATCTATAAAATAATAATTACAAAAAAATTCACTCGAATAAAAAACTATAAGCTATAAGCTTGCATGATATCTGCAAATATGTATAATAAATTGAATCTTACCGTTAAATTTTTAATACAGATTTTAAAAAAAAAAGTTATTTATACAAAACATATACGTTTATTAAAATCATAAAATTAAGATAATTATATTTGATTGGATATATACACAAAAGAGTAAATCTTCTTTACTCTCAAACTATATTCAACAAAATCTTGAAACTACAAATATATTAGTAATATATTATTATTATATATATTCTTAAAGTATATAAATTATAATATAGTATAATAATTTAATAATCAGATATTAATACTATGTGACAAAAAGAAGTGTTTTTTTTTTAGTTTTTCAAGAATTTAAAGTTAAACGATATATATGCATCTGAATGAAATTTTTTTCACGAAAAGGAAATCCAATTCTTCTATTGAGATGCCTCGTAGTGATATCAGTCTTATGGTATCAGTCTTTTCACTTACAGGTTATAGATTAGGTAACCATGCTAGAAGATTGAATCTCCCATTCAAACATACCTGTCGCAGTTGTGGGGAAGACGATGAATCTACTAGTTCGTACCCCTCATCTATTTTGCTTTTACCCAGCTCATACATGGCTACGACTCAACACTTTACGGGTTCCCTTCCTTGAGAATCTAGATCAACTACAAGACCTCCCACTAAACAAGATTCTAAGCTTCGCCCAATGTTCTAAGTGGTTTTAAACTCTGCGTTTCTACATTATACGGTAAAACAATGGACCAATAGGCCTTAGTGGATCCCTTAAGAATCGCCGATATAACTTAACCTAATCTAAGTTTAATATTCGGTTGTAGAGCTAAAATTTACAAAACAATTTTTTCCTTGACATCTAGAAAATTTTTTAAATTTAAGATACGAATGTAAAGATACATTCTATCTTTACACAAATTAAGGATCATGTAGTATATTCAAAAACTTTATGACGATAAATGTACGAATTTGACAAGAAAAAACATTTTTCTGTTTATGGTGAGAGAAATTTAATACAATTTCTCACAGATCATTTTTCAACAAAAAATTGTCATGAAGAACTATAACATGTAATCAAGATTTTACAAAGACACTGAAGATGGGGTCCACTTCACAAATATATTATTAAAAAAGTGAACTAAATACGGTTGCAGAGTCTTGTAATCCTAAATGTGTTCAGTTAAGAAACTAATGATTGTATGTGTTCCGATTCTGAATATAATAATTAAAAAAGGTAAAATTATTGAAATTATTGAATAACTAAGACTTTGTCAAATTCTTATGGAATTTTGGTTAAGTTAAATTTTATTTAAAAAGATTAATATTCTTAAAATGTTATAACTGTTATGAAATTTGAGACATTGTTATTCAGTCCTCTTAAGAGTTTCCTCATTAATATGTGTAAAATATTTAACTAAAAAATTATTACAATAAACAAAATATATAACATTTTTTAATTCTAAAATCTAAAAACATAAAATACCTACTCGTAATAATAAAACTTATCTATTTAAATTAAAGAAGATTAGTTATTAAAGATTTTTACCGGATTTTTATAGTAACCGTTTGGATTGTATTTGAAGTTGTTGTTACGATATGGGTAGTTCCTTATTCCATTTCTGAAAAACAAAGAGTAAAATTAATTATACAAATATTTTACATAGGTTTATATATATATATATATATATATATATATATATATTTATAGGCTTATAAATATAGGTTTATATATTTAAATATAACTTAGTATAAATAATTTATATGCTGATGTATGCAGCGATACCGCTGATTAGCGTGGATTGCTTAATATAACCTATGTTCGATGTTCGAGCAGATCTATGTTGCAAGAAACGAGAAAAGAATTACAATATACGAATAAAAAGAAGAGGGTTGTTTAAGATAAGAAATGGATGAGAGGTCAATAGTGTCTAGCGGGTCTTAGTGTACTTTGACTTTTGACATACATTGTAAAATATAGTAATAAATTAGATGTTTGATTTTAGATTAAAATAATTCACTACATGGGTAAGGAAATAGATTCGATGAGATATTAGAAATGTGAAGAAGGTTATTTAAGATAAGATTTGGATGAGGGGTTTATAATGTGTAGCGGGCCTTAGTGTACTTTGATTTTTGTAATACGTTGTAAACTTCATTAATAAATTAGGTTTCTAAATTTAGATTACAATATATCACTATATGGGTTAGAAAATGGATTATGTAGAAGATTATAACTGCGGGGAAGGTTTTTTGGAATAAGGAAGGGATGCAGGGTTTATAATGACTTTTAAAACACATTAAATTTAAGTAAATTAAAATATCTAAAATATATTATAATCTTTTACTTATTTATGGATGTTTAAACCCTTATTTAGAATTATTTCCAATCTCTTCGATTTAGTTTTTTTTTCGAGATTTAAGAGCATATTTTAACATGTTAGTTTTTGAATCAATTTGGATCCAAAAACGTCTACCAATATAAAGAGCATTTCAATAAGTTAAACTATATATCAAAAACTATATACAAAAGAATATTATGTATTTTGGTCATAGCATAATTATTTAGGCATAAATAGCGAACAGTAATAGTATTGGCTTCATTAATAATATGCCTTACAGTATGAAAAATGTGTGTATTACACGTTAGTCAAACTTAAGTGTAACAAGAAATTACTATTCATTTCTATATCATACTACAGTAAATTACAATTTAATCTTTTAAAACTATTTCTATAAAATTTAAAAGATTTGAAATTTAAATAAAACTTTATATATCAAAACTAAAAATATATATATATAATGATATATAAATATCAGTCCATATCCATGCCTTAGACAAGCAAAATAATTAAACTGTAATTTAAGTGTCTTGAAAAATATTTAATTTTACATTTGTCTCTTAAATGTTATTTTACTCTTTCCATTTTATTATTCCAAAATTGCCAAGTCAAAATACTTTTACAAAATTTGAAAATTATTTCAAGCTGTTGCACATTCACCCATATACACTCACCCACAAAGTTATCTCAAGAAAAACTTATTACACACTTCTAAAACATATTATCGTGTAGAACAAGGAGTATTACAGTGCGTATGAGCAACAATTAGTTCGACTACAAACCACGCTACTAATATGCACTGCTTAAGGCACCTGCGAAGAACTGTTCAGTAAGTTGGCATTGTAATTTCGTTGTTTTGTTGCTTAGAAGAGTTAAATGTGTTCATATTTATGAGTCTCGTAAAACTCAATGATATACGAAATGGATATAAGAAAAAGTAAATGCTACATTTTTACTTCTCTAAGTTAACAAAGTGCTACGCCAGCCACCAAGGTAAATACCTAAACTTTGCACACTAACTTAAGTAATGGCAGCATTAAGATGAAAAAATTAACTTCGTAGCGTTTACTTCAATTTTGTTAAAATTTTAATTTCCATTGTCATTTTGGCTGACACTTAAGACAACATTTTACTTTTCTGAAATATTTTACTTTGTTACCAAAATATTTGCGAAGTACTCATTTCATTTGAAAATAAATTTTTCCTTAACTTCTTTAGTTTGTTCTCAAGTAGTAGCTTACGTTTTATTACAACCCATGCAGCACGTTTCTTCCGAGGATATTTTATTTAATAACTTCTGTAGTCACGTAGATTTTTTTCAAGACTTTTTAATTGACTCAATACTAATATTGTCACAATACATACATATATATAGAAGTATACTCTAAAATATCTTGCTAGAAAAAGTTCATTAGTTTGCTTATTTTGCATTTCGACATTAATTTTAAATATAATACAAAAAGAAAAAAAAATTAAATCAAAAACCACAGACCCTTCACAAGGTGTCAATATACAAGGCTTTCCAGCTTTGTGAAGTTCATTATGAACATGTCACATTTTCCTATGCTCTTTGCGTGTTTCCGGCACTAATTTTTCTTTATCAAACGGAAAAAGTATATTGCAAAGAATCCTTTTTTCACTCATCACTAAATAAATTTCGAAGACTTTTTGGTTACGTTTCTTGCATATTAATTTTGCAAATTGTTATGAATTTAAAATAGGCCGAGATTTTCTCTATAGTACTTTAATAATTTAAACAAAAGGTGCCAGATGATTTTTAAACTTTATGACTGGCAGAAGAAACTTCTCATCATTTACATTTGCAGATAAATAACCTTAAAATATGGATTATTAAATATTGATATCATTTTATATAATGAATTGTATATATATTATAGTATTTGTTATTTGGTAATAAATGACTTATGAAGTGAAGAATGTTTTAATTTTATCACTGGTGACAAGTTTGTAGTCAAAGTTTGTAGTAGTCAAAGAATATTAAAATGGATCGACATTCAGTTACTTTCTAAATAAAAATTTGTACAAGGATGCCTACTTTATACAAGCAAGCTTATTTTTTTGAAAATAAACTATAATTTTATTTAACATCTCTGCATTTTTATTAAAGACAAAAGTGCATTAGTCAAAGAATGTCAAAATTGTCCGACATTCAGTTCTATTCTTATTAAAACTGTAGACGAGGATGCCTGCGGATTTATATAAAAAAAATTCATTTTATATAAAATTAATAACATATACAACTAATAGTATATAAAACTAATAAAATAGTCTTGCCTTTATTTTAATAATAAATTGAAGATTAAACTACTAGAAGATTCTTCTACTTAAAAATAAATTTAAATTTATTTCAATATTTAATTGACATCACTAGAACTAAAGTACTAATGTAATACTCTTTGTATTAAATGAAAAGTAAATTACTGTGGTAGTTAGTCTAAATCACCAACACACTTGTACCCTCTGCTCTATTGTGAAATTCGCTCTTGACTTACTACGTGGTAGAGCTATAGAACTATTTAATTATTTTTCATAAAACATAATTTATAATAATTACAGTTATATAACTGTAAGAATAAGTCCGATACTAATATATGGTTGATCGTACGATAACATAACTCCTAGTTGGGAGGAAACGACATATGAATATATTTCTCTTGGAATATAACTTTAAAATTTTTATAAAGACATCAAAAATATATGACAAAATTAACTAAGAGATCTATTTTGTATTCCTGGAATAAACATGCATTACTAAATTCCTAACCATTATAGCATTTTCTAAGTTGAAATCTTGCCAATAGGTAAAGTTTTGGAAGAATTTAGGATGCTAATAGAAATTTCTAATATTCACGGTTAGTCAGGTTATAAATAAATGCTTAGAATTAAGAAAAGTATCTTCTTAGCTGATATTAGAATCTTAATGAGGGTGTTCAAAAGCATCGCATTCGCTTTTTTTGTGTACCAGGTTATATTGACTTTCCCACCACTTATACTGGCGATATGGCAGTAAAATCAGGTCTAACCACATATATTCTTTATAGAAAATAAGTTGTAGTTATGCCTTTAACGAGACTATAGCAGCTAATAAAGAATTTGAAACAAAAAGCAACGCGAGATGGAAAAAAGGTCGCAATCTGTTGTAATCTGACAGTTTAAATCAACGATGAACAAATCAACAATACATAAGACGTAGAACTACTACATCTGTACTGATACCATTAATAAAATGGCATTGTCTAATAAGAACAATGTCAAAATTTTTTGACACACTCAGAGTATACGGAATTATTAAATAAAACACAAAATAAACATCAAGTAATTGAAATTTATTTTGTAGACTTTAAAGTAGGCTCCATTGAATGTAATATATATATATAGCGACGCTTGATACAACTCTTTATATATTACATATTACGTTGTTGATTGAATCCAGAGAAGTGGTTCTTAAATTATTTTGAATTTCTTTTTTATGACTGTTATTCCTTCGAAACGCGTTTCTCAAAGTAATAATCAGTTACACGGTGCTATACCATGTGAATATAGTGTTTTGTTGATCACGTTTATTGAATTTTGTCTATAATATTTGTACAATGTTGATTATATGCAATCGTACAACACTCAAAAGTATCATTGCCTAAACAACTGGCTTTAATACACTGGGTACCAGATCGTGAAAAAATTATGGCGATATTTTTGATAAATGCTATTCAAATTATAAACTTCGCATAAATTTCATAGAAAAGGTAGAACACCTTAAGACTTTTGTTACAACTGCGATAACGAAAAAAAAGGACAGCACATATTATCTAAATTATCACAGTATTGTTTTAACAACTTAAAAACAATTTGATCTGAACACTCTCTTGGCTAACCAGTGTTGATTAGCGTGGGTACCTGCCTTGAAGGCTTAAGACCACTGTGCTTTCAAAAATACATTTATTAAAGTAATACGCCGATAAAAGCCCCATTGGAAATTTCGTGACCGCCGTGAAATCAGATTCACACCTCCGGTCGAGTGTCGAAAGTGGGGACACTTACTTACTATCATGTACACTTCAACAAGTCTCGGTATAGTGCCGGGACTTTAGACGCCTTTTACGATAGGCATGCCCTACCTCGGGAATATTCCAATCCCTTACACGCAGAGGGGACATGTTCTAAAGATAGTCTATCGAAATTTGTTGATTTATTAAAATACATTTGGTTTTTGTTTTTTGGGGTCACGGATTAGCTTAAATGCGACAACTACTATCG